GAGCTTCCTGTGATTTTCCTATTTTGTAGTTTCCTTGTCAGGTTTTGGTATCAATTTTTTTGTGTCCTGATAAAATGTGTTGGGAGAAATATTCCCTCCTTCTCCATTTTTGGGAGAAGCTTATGTAAGTTTGGTATGTGTATGTTTGTGTATGTGGGTGCGTGTGTGTATGCGTGTGTCCGGGTGCGTGTAAGTGTGTATTTTATAAGTGCATAAGTGTTCAGAAGCGTTCACCAGTGAATCTTTCCAGACTCAGAGTTCACTTAGTGGGAAAATTTTTAATTATAAATTCAACATATTTAATATATATGACAATTCAGATATCCTATTTATTTTTATTTCCATCATTTTAGTAAATTGTATTTTTGAGTATTTTGTCCATTTCATCTACATTTTCTAATGTATTTGCATAAAATTGATCATAATGATCTGCTACCGATTTAAAGTCCGTAGGATCTGTGATACTGTCCTGATAGTGGTAATGTGTGCCTTCTCTCGTTTTCCTTGAGCATTGTGGCTGGGATTGATAAGTGTGATTAACGTTTTCAAGAATGAATTTTTTTGGCTTTATTGACTTTTCTCTATTTTTTATTCGTCCTCATTAGTAGCTACTCTTGTCATTATTATTTCCCTCTTACCTTCATTTGGAATAATTTGCTATTCTTTTTCTAAATTCTTGGTATGATAGCTTAGGTCATTGATTTTTTTAGGCTTTTCTTTTCTAAAGATATTCATTCATTCATGGTTCTTAATTTTCCTATTTGGCAGGATTGATGTGTAACATTTACATTATCATTCAATTTAAAACATGCTTTCGCTTCTGTTTTGGATTTCTCATTTCACTCATGGATTATTGAAAAGTCTGTTGTGTTATTTCCATAATGTAGGGATATCTGTTATCTTTGACTGCAGAATCAGTGAGTCCCAAAGTGTCCCAGAACGTCCTGGTGGTCCGTGTTAGGAGTCTGGCTGGCAGGGGGTCATTAGGAGGTGTCCACTGGGGGCAGCTCCTATTTCGTCTGTGGTCTCTGAAGTCTCCCCCCTGGAGGGTGGGGTCTGGGTCCTTCCTGGGCTAGCGGATGGCCAGAGAAGCATACACGCTGGGCTCCGCTGGGGGTTCCTCTGACTGGGAGGAAGGGGGTGTTGTCTCCCGTCTGAGGGTCAAGTGGTTCAGCTGTGCGTAGGTCACTTCCTGGGGGTCTTCAGATGCAGCAGCCTGGATCAGAGGGAGAGTGGGGGATTGGTATGTGGTTGGGGTGGGGGCAGCCTGGTGTCCAGGAGAGGATGGGACCCACCTGTCTGTCCATCTGTCTGTCCTCTTCTGCTTGTCTGTCCTTCGTGTCCAGTGATTCCTCTGACAGGGGGGAAGGAGAGGTGGACACTCTCTGTCTAAGCCTTGATCTTGAGTGGTTCACCTGGGCATATGTCGCTCCCTGGGGGTCTTCATCCTGGGGGCCCTGCTGCAGGTGGACAGAGGGACAGAAACGGTGTCTCCCTGACCCCACTGCTGACCTCCTCCAGTCAACCATCCACACTGTTACAGAGTGAGGTCACTTCCTGATGGAATTCTCAGGGACGTCCTGAGTCTTGGACATCTGGATGCTTTCTACGGTTCTGATTCTTATCCTAACACGCTATCTCTCACTCATTTGGCTAGAGCCACATGTCCTATCTTTGTGAAGAAGCATGGTGCTGCCTGAGGACATTTACACCTGCTGTTTCCTCTGCCCCCTGCATGCGCTCTATCCCTTTTCCTTGCTTTATCTTCCTTAACAGCACTTTGCACTCTAGGATGCTACCTGCATATTTGCATGTTGTCTCTCACCCACGAGGTGAGCTCAAGGAGTGTGGAGACAGTTTTCTCACTGCTGCACCTGCAGCACCTGAATGGAGCTGGGTAAACAGTGAGCTCCCTGTGCACATTGTTGGGTGAATGAATGAAGGGGGCCTAGGGGACTTGTGGGTGATTCACTCATTCCTGCATCCTCTTGAGACCTGGGGGTGCACCCCAACAACCAGAAGATCAGACAGAGGACGAGGACCCAGCAGAGGGGACTGCATAGGAAGGGCCATGAGGTCACAGAAACCAGGAGGAGTGAGTCACAGAAGGACGACCCAGGGTGCCCAAGACGAGAAGTCAGTGTGGGACGCTGCTGAGAGCTGGGTGATGTGAGGACAGGAAGTGTCCGTTAGATTAAGTTTGGCAACAGGTAGGTCCCTGGTGGCCTGGACAGGAGCAGGGGTCTCACCTGATGGTCCAGCTCCACCTCCACCCCCTCCTCAGGCCGTGTGTCCTTCACGGCAGCATCTGCTGGGGCAGAACAGGGGGTGTGTCTCTTGGCAGGATTCCCTGAGATGTCTCAGGGCTGCAGGCCCCCCTCTGCTCCCAGATGGGCCACTGAGGTCCAGGGGTGAGGAGATGTGCCCGAGGTCACTCAGGGTGGGATTTCAGTCCTTCTCACCCCAAATCCCCAGGCCCTCCCAGCCCAGCCTCCTGTGGCCTCCTGAAATCTCTGTGCCCACCCCCCAGGGCGGCCCCTCCTCTCCTCTCACAGAGGGTCTCTTCCTGGGCCTCAGCAGTGGGGCTGGAGCTGGGGGAGGAGACGGGAGTGTTAGGGGCAGAGAGGGGCTGAGGGCGGGGTGAGGTCTGGGGTCTTCGGGGCAGGAATTTCCTGATCTGCAGGCCTCTGTCCTTGGACTCTGGGTCTGCAGCCCCTGCAGGGAGTTGGAGATCAGCCTATTTCTGGGCTGGGTCACGATGGACAGAGTCTCAGCCCTGGGAGGTCTTCACCACTTGCCCTCCACGTGCGATTCGAGAGGAAAGAAGGAAACTGTAACACATACTTGTGTGTATGTTTCAATATTTCATAAGATTCAAAAGGTAAAAAATACCTTAAATGTTAACATATATGCTGTATTAAGTGTTGTCTTTAGGATTTTCTGATTTGAGATTCTGGGAAATCTTTTACTAGTTGACCTTCCCATCTATGTGGTTTCCCTCTGGCTGATGCCCTAAGCCCACCTCCTCCTGTGACCCGGGTCACCCTGTTCGCTACTCACCTGAGGTCCTGTGTTTGCCCTGACGCCGGAGTCGGATGAGGAAGAGGAGGAGGAGGATGGAAAGCAGCAGGATGAAGGCCGCCGAGACCCCAATCAAAGCCTTCAGGTACCACTCGAGACCTTGGGCACCGGTGATGTCATGAATGAGCCAATGATGCTATTTAATTGAGTGCCTCCTGTGTGCCAGGCATGTGCTGGGGTCTGTGCATTCATCTTCTCTAATTCACAAAAATCATGCAACATGGGACTGCCACCCACCCACCCATTTCACAGATGAGGAAACTGAGTGACAGAGAGGTAAATCATGTGCCCCAGGTCACCCAGCCTGAAGTGGCAGAGCTGGGACTGGAACCCAAGACTGTTGGTTCCTTTGGATTTTTTACATTATTTTTATGCTGTGCCCTTACCCTCCAGGGAGAACACCAGTGCAGAGACCTATCCACCAAACCCAATCCCTCCCCCTTCTCGCCATCTCCCAGCCCGGGTCCATCTCCCGCTCTGCAGAGGCCTGGCCCCCCACGTGGGGCCTGTGTGGACATGGAGCTTGTGTGCATCTGGGAAGATCAGGAGGGAGGGCTCTGTCCTTCCTTTCTTTTTTTTTTAGTTTTTTTTATGGATGTTGTCTTTCCGTATTTTTTATTTCTGCAAATGGTAGTGTTTTGATTCTCACGTTGTTTCTTACTTTTTTGACTCTCATGTTGTTTCTTGCTTTTTAAACCCAGCATTTTTTTTTTGTGAGGAAGATTGGCCCTGAGCTAACATCAATGCCCATCTTCCTCTACTTTATATGGGACACTGCCACAGCATGGCTCCACGGTCGGTGCATCGGTCTGCACCTGGGATCCGAACCTGCGAACCCCTGGCCGCCAAAGTGGAGTGCGCGAACTTAACTGCTATGCCAAGGGCGGGCCCCTGTCCTTCCTGAGCTCTAACAGGGCCAGGCCCCAGGCTGAGGGCTTTCACCCTGAGGAGGGAGGTGATGGGAGGCTTGTTGTGCAGAGAGGAACCTGGGACTCAGAGAGGAGCATGATGTGTCCAAGATGCACAGGTGGGAAGTAGCAGAGCTGGGGTTTGAACCCAGGGGATGTTCTTTCCCCAACTCTATGGCTGCTCCTGGGAGGGCTGAGCGCCCCTGAGCTTATGGAGGACTCAGACTGTGTCCCCACACAGTGTCCAAGCAGCCTTCTCGGACTGTGCAATCGGAGAACTTGGTCCCTGTGAGAAGGAGAAACTTTTCTCAGGTCACCATCTCAGGAAGTGGCTGAGCTCCTCCCACCCACCACCTCCCCACAGAGACCCTCACTTAGCCACTGTGGGGCCTGACTCTGCGGGGGGTGATCGGCCGATTCTCAGAGCCTCCTGGGGATCAGCCTGGGAGGTGAGGGGGTGGTTGTCACTCTTCCCACTTCAGCCCGGCTGCCCCTCCCCCAGGCTGAGCCCCGACATCTCCCTCTGCCGTGACCACCCAATCCATCGTGTGCCCAGCCTCAAAGCCCCTGAAGCCCTGTGTTCCCTGGCGTCTCTGCCTGACTGCCAGGCCCCTGGGAGACAAGCCATGCCAGAGTAGGAGATCTTGGTCCCACTGGTGATCCAGTCTCTGCTACTCACTGCTCTCATGTCTCTGGGTGAGGGGATTCTGGGACTGGACACTGGAGGAGGATCAGGAGGGGGTGCCTCTGGCCTTTTCTCCTTTTGGTCAGCCCTGAGTCCTCTCCAGCCTCCTCCACTCACCACAGAGGTAATGGACCTCAGGGATGAGGATGAGGATGAGGCAGGGATGGGAGTTGCTCTGGCTTTTTCCATCCCTCTGAGAGGTGGGGTTCCCCTCTGGCTGACTCGCCTTCTTTGGCCCCCTCACTCTCATCCCAGTCCAGAGCTCCCCTGGGGACAGACCCTGAACTGACTGTGAGGACACAAAGGGGAGGACTGGGGCTCTTCACCTGAGACCCGGAGCTCTAGGGGGTCACTGGGGAGTGACAACAGGTAGGGTGAGGTGCTGTGTGAGCTGTAGCACCTGTAGGTCCCCTCGTGGTCTGAGGTCACAGGACTGATGGTGAAGTTGGCCTGAAAGGGTGCAGCCCTGTTCTGCAGACGAAGGTGCTGGGGAGGAGCAGGTGACCCCTCCTTGCACAGATGGAAGGTATCCAACCAGATCTCAGAGCGACACTGCAGGGTCACATTCTCTCCCCAGGACACTGAGGGCCCCGGCTGGGCTGAGAGAGAGGGTTTCTCATACATTCCTGGGGGAGAGGAAGGTTGTGATGTGTAGAGAGGTGCACCTTCCCTACATCCCTTGACCCCGAGCTGAGGGACCACTGTCCTCTCTCCAGGGACTCTGTCTATGACCCCCTCTCACCTCCTCTCAGTCCCTAGGGGTGGGTATCTTTTATCTCCTTGCCCCTCACTCCTCCTTCCTCCCTCCCTCTCCCTAGACCACTGGCCCATCTCAGCCTCTGCTCCAGGACACTCTCCCAGGACCCCATCACCACCAGGGGTGACCCTGGGTCCAGCACCCTGAATAGACAGTCAGGACATGGGGCTCCTCACCCGCGATCAGGATGTCCAGGGCGGCACTGGGGGCCGACCACGCATAGGAGAGGTGGTGTCCACTGTAGCATCTGTACTGGCCCCCGTGGGTGTGGTTCACATGGCCCAGAGGGAAGTCGGTGCTGTGCTGCCCATGAAAACGCTGGGGGGGTGTGAGCCCCTCGACTTTGGTCAGACAGAATCTGTCAAAGCCAGCCTCTGAGCGACACTGGAGGGTCAGGTTTCCAGAGAGCACCAGGGAGCCTAGCTGGGCTGAGAGGGAGGGCTCCCTGTACACACCTGGAGAGAAGGGCCAGTGGCATTGAAGGGGACGCACACCCCACATTCCACACTGGGACGTGCAGTGAGAGTTCTCACTGGTCCCTCCCCAAACCTCCTGCTCTGTGGTTCAGTCCCCAGGAACCCATGTCACCAAGTCCCCATTGCCTGCAGGGCTCCACTGGGCACACAGCTCAGGTCAGTCATTTTGGGGTCCCAGAAAAGAAATAGATCAGGGGGCCCTCACCTGTGACCTCGAGATGCAGAGGGTCACTGGGGAGTGACCACACATAGGGGTAGGAGCTGGGAGAACCATAGCATCTGTAGGTCCCCCCATGAGAGGTATTCATGGGGCCCACAGGGAAGACAGGCTGCCCCCCGTCCCAGGATAGGTCCTTGATTCCACGTGTTGGGGCGGGTCAGTTCCTCCCTCCTTCAGCAGATGGAAAGTGTCCAATGTGATCTCTGAGCTACAGGAGAGGGACATGTTCCCTCCTGATGCTGCCACAGGGACTGGGTGGGCTGAGAGGGAGGGTGCCCTGTACTTCCTGAAGGAGAAGGAGGGACCTGTGTTAAAAGGGGGACCATCAGCCCACATACCCCAGGTGTGGATTGTGAGGACTAGGGTCCCCTGAGCCCACACCCCATTCCCTTCTGCCTGTGAGGAGGAGCCCACAGTGGGAGGGGACCCAGATCCTCCCCCTCACCTGTCACCACCAGGGACAGGGGGTCACTGTGCTCTGACCAGCCGTTCCAGCTTGTATGACATGCACACTGATACAGCCCTGCAGTGTGTGAGCTCATAGATTTGATGGAGAAACTGGTCTTGTTGCTGGAGTCCTGTGGGGCCTCTGTATCCCAGGGTTGAGGGACCCTATCTCTATACAGATGGTAGATGTCAGCCTGCAGAGACCCCTGACACCAGGTGGTCACAGGGCTCCCCATGGTGACCATGGGTCCTGGGTCAGCCCAGATGGAGGGTTTGAGGGGAGCTCCTGGAAAGAAATCAGACCTGAAGTGTCAGGGGAGCCCTTCTCCCCTCACCTTCCCAGCTGTCACTCAAGGCCCCTCCCAGACTGGTTACCATCAACCCAGACCCTCTGTCCTCCCAGCTGCTCAATGGCGTTCCTTTGTCTGAAGAAGGACGTGTGGAGGAGGACTCACCTGCCTGTCCTCAGTTCCACGGACCCCAACACAGCCCTGAAAGAGAGTTCCCTGTGAGAGTGTGTCACCTAATCCACACACAGAAGGTCCAGGCCTGGTTGGCCCCTGAGCACTGGGGTCAGATCTGGGGCTGTGTACACTCTCCTTCCCCCAGAAATTCGGCCCCCACCAAGCCTCTTGAGTCCTGGGGTCTTGGAGATCAGGACCTGGGAGGGGAGGAGACACTATCCCTCCTTTTTTCCCCAAAACTCACCAAGGGCAGAGGATGGCAGTGAGGGTTGGGGTCCTGATACTGCCTCCCATGGTCCCCAGTGGTGCAGACAATTTATAAAGTCCACAGAGCCCCGCAGGACAGACAGACAACAGGGGTGTGACAAGATCCAGTCTCTGTGTGACACATCACAGGTTCCTCATCTGTGGCCTCACAGGAAGGGGAACAGCCCCTGCCAGGGCCTCACTCTGGTCTTCCTGAAGGATGGAGCTGAAGAGGCAACAGGCTCAGCGGACCTCCCAGACCAGATCTGAGTCTCTGCACACCCACACGCTCTGCCTCCACCTCACGCCAAACCCAAATCCAGAGAGCGACACTGGTCCCGGAACATGAGGCTTGGAGAAGGCAGGGGAGGATCAGCCCAATTTCTGTTCCAACTCTGACTCTGCCTCTTATAGAGGCTTTGTGACCTGGGGCAGATTACTTCCCTTTTGAGCTTCTGTAAATGCAAATTTTTTTCCTTTCTTTCATGAGTCAGGCAATCAGTCAGTATTTATTGAGCAGTTACCATGTCCAGTCATGATGCCGGATGCTGGAGAGTCATTGCTGAAGCTGACAGAGTCTTTCTTGGGACTCAAGGGGCTCAGATGAATGGAGACAGATATTATAGATATTTAGGTGGCAAATAATTGAGTTATAGTCTTGGTTTTTATTACTATTTTTTATTTATTTATTTTGTGAGGAGATCAGCCCTGTGCTAACATCTCCCAATCCTCCTCTTTTTTTGCTGAGGAAGACTGGCCCTGGGCTAACATCCATGACCATCTTCCTCCACTTTATGTGGGATGCTGCCACAGCATGGCTTGCCAAGCAGTGCATCGGTGTGGGCCCAGGATCCGAACTGGTGAACCCCGGGCTGCACAGTGGAGCGTGCACACTTAACTGCTTGTGCCACCGGGCCAGCCCCCCCACCTTTTTTTTTGAAGTGTTTATTTATTTACTTATTTTTTTTTGTGAGGAAGATCAGCCCTGAGCTAACGTCCATGCCAATCCTCCTCTTTTTGCTGAGGAAGACCGGCCCTGAGCTAACATCTATTGCCAATCCTCCTCCTTTTTCCCCCTAAAGCCCCAGTAGATAGTTGTATGTCATAGTTGCACATCCTTCTAGTTGCTGTATGTGGGACGCCGCCTCAGCATTGCCGGACAAGCGGTGCGCGCCCCGGATCCGAACTGGGGCCACCAGTAGCCGAGCGCGGGCACTTAACTGCTAAGCCACGGGGCCGGCCCCTATAGTCTTGTTTTAATACAAGCTGGGAGAAAAAAATAAAACAGGGGACAGTGAGATTCAACAACAGGTAGATATCCTGCAACTTGCATCCTGGCTGTGAGGGGTCCTTCTGGTGAAGGAGTGACCCAAGGCATGAGCAGGGTCAGCCCAGAGGTGGAGGTGGGGCATCCTTGACCAGAAAGGTCTGAGCTGTTCTCAGAATTGAGAGCAATCAGAATCCTGGGCCTTGTCACACAGGATCTTGAGCACCTTGCCAGTACCTTGACATTTATCTTTAAGACAATGGGAAGATTTTAAGTAACAGACAATATGAACACATTTCTGTTTAAAAAAGACTACCACCACGTGGAAAATGTAATGCAGGAAGGCTCTATTGATAATTAACTCTATTAATAATAAAACTCCAACATTAATTTGGCCCCTGGATAATGTGTTGATCAGTATTTTAAGTTGTTTATGTGGTTTTCTCATATAACCCTTACACAAACCTATAACACAAAATACATTTACAGTTGGGTGGAATGAGACAGGACAGCTTCTTGGTACATCAGGTTGGAAAGGAGTTGACTAGGTTCAGACTGGCCTAGGGAGGAGCCAGAGGAAGGCACAGAATTGTTAAGTAGCTCAGCTTGTGTGTGTGTTTGGGGGAGTATGTGGTTAACTGTGATGAGTTTGGTTGAGAAGGAGAGTGTGTTCGCTGGGGCTGGTGAGTTTAGCTCAGACCTGATCATTCACAGCCCTGAGCATCAGATGGTGCAACTTGATCTTTTTTGAAGATGGAAGTTGCTGGAAGGGTTCTGAGCAGGGCAGGATCAGACCAGATAGGGTTATTATAAGAGTCCTTTGGAGGCAGTGAGAGGAATGAACTGGAGAAAGGAGTGGGGGCCTAGATGTGAAGACCAGGAAGGTGAGACAGATGAGATGTAATGACACAGATGAGATGCCCTGAGTCTTGTGATGGATCAGGGATATTGTTAAGAAGGACTCAAGGGGCATGGTGGTGTGGATTTGATGATTAGATGTGAAATGTAAGGCTGTTCCACTGTCTGCCTTGGTGTCTGGAGAAGCCAGTGGGGCCATCACAGGGAGGAGGACCCTGGGGAGAAGAAGGCTTGGGGAGATGCTTAGAAGACTGATCACCATTTCTCAGAAGAAGGTGTAGCCCTCCCTCCTGACCTGGGATTGCGGATTTCCTTCCCCCTAAACACTTCCCTTCACTGACTTCCTTGTTTCTAAAGTCAGTACCATCTTTTTCTTCATCAGCCTCCTTCAAAACCTCTGAGTCATTTCTGCCTCCTCAGTGCCTCTTCCTTCCCTGGGCAGAGCTCATCATCTCATATTGTGAATTCTTTCTCCAGTCACTGGGTGAGAGCACGAGTTGGAGGCAAAAAGGATTTTAAAAAATGACACAGACGCAGGCATCTGTGAGACAAATCATATCATTGATCTCCCAGCAAAATGAGATTGATATTAATGAAGAAAAAATATTTGAAGAAATAAAAGCTGACCATTTCATAGATTTGTTGAAAGTCCTAAATTTACACGCCCAAGATGTTCTGCAAATGCAAAATAAGATAAGCTTTAAAAACCATGCCACACGTCATAATTCTAATCAAGATAGTGAAAACCAAAAAAAAAAAAAAAAAAGAGCAAGGCCAATGAAAGAAAACAGCTACAAATATAGTAGAATTTAGGACTTAAAAAAAAAAAAAAAAGTTGAACTCCTCCAGATAAAAATGCCATGAAACACAGAGCAAAAATGATTTGAATGA